TTGGTTCCTATTTCCTAGTAATTTCTCACACTTAGTTAACTAGTCAGTCTTACCAAAAAGTAAACTAACCAGGGATCCCTAGTTTCTGTATCTTTAAATCCTATATGGTTGCAAACCAAAGTGAGATGCCTATCTGGTTTCTGCACGGTTGTCCTGAATTATGTTGGTACATATTTTATAGCCAGAAAATTACCTTGAAAAATAAATTGAAACCATAGCAAGTATTTAGACCTAGGGGTCTAAAATCTGCAAAAGCCCTGGGATGTTACGTTGTCTCAAGAGCCAGTATTCAATGGACCACTCCACATCATATGAAATAAAATCTGAACACAGCATTTTGAATCCAATAGAATGGCTCTCTGTGTCCTGTGTGCCCTGAGTGTATTTTAGAGTAGTTGTTGAGTCTGCTGCCTTATCTGTGTGTTATGAGATCAATGCACTGATCACTTGCTGTTTTCACTTCTATACTAACTCTCGACTCACTATACTCCCAGTCAAAAGTGGATTGTATACTTCCTCTTTGATATGATGGTCCCTCTTTGATATGATGGACCAAGAGGTCCTCTTGGTGCCTCTTCCATGAGCTTCAGATCAGAACTAGCTATGAAGCTGTGGTTCCAGGCTGCCTTGGTTTAATCCCTTGTCTTGCCTACTCCACCAGGCTCAGGAGGGAGGCCCAGGAGGAAGAAATGGATGAAGTCCTGGAGGACTCACTAGATGAACAGTATTTGACTCATTCCAGCCGCCATGACTCCCACCAGCTTCCAAGCAGCAATGCCTTCCTCTCTGATGCACAGGAAGACCCCTCTGCTCTGGATATAGCCAGTGAGTGCTCCTTTGATAAGAAAAATAAAGCTCCATTAATCTCTCAGTAGCTCCTACATTCTACATGCTCAACAACTCTGTCTAAACTGAGAGATGTTATTCTCTGCAGGCAGGCCCTGAAGATTCACTTTAAAAAAGTGATTAGGCTGAACACAGCTCTGGTTTCAAGTCTCAAGTACAGGTCCCTAGTGTGGGTCAGGTAATTTGTTCTGTTCCTGTCCTCACCTCAGTCCCTCTGGCCCGGACTGGCATCTGCAAGTTGGTATACTCAAAGCAGGCCAGAATGGAAAGAGTGAAGAGATTATGGCAGACTCTGCCACTGCTGCAGCACATGTACAAATCCGTTTAACAGATCTCCTTCTTTAAAACGGGACATCTTATCTTTCCTGAAATATATAAATTTTTTGAGACTGAGTCCCTTGTTCTGTCACCCAAGCTAGAGTGCAGTGGCATGATCTCAGCTCACCACAACCTACAGCCCAGGGTCAAATGACCCTCCCACTTCAGCCTCCTGAGTAGCTGAGACCACAGATGCATGCCACTACTCCCGGCTATATTTTTGCCTATTTGGTAGAGACAGGGTCTTGCCTTGTTGCGCAGCCTGGCCTCAAACTCCTGAGCTCAAGCAATTCACCCACCCCTGCCTCCCAAAGTGCTGGGATTATAGACGTGAGCCATTGTGCCCAGGCTTCCTGAAATATTCTTGATAATTATAGTTCCTGAACAGTTTTCCCAAGCTGTTCTAGCCATCCCATGAATGTTGGCAGGCTTGCCCATATGTTTGGAGGTACAATTATAATTTCAAGCTCCAGTCTCCATCTCCCCTCAGGTGCTTGCTTTCCCATAAGGTTCCATCTGACTAGTAAAATATCAGGGTATTTCCATAAAGACAAGACTTTGATCTTGGCAACCCTTTGGTAAATAGCCAGGGTTCTCAATCTTTGTGCAGCACCAAGGTATTTTTATGATCTCCGTTAGTTTAGTCTCAACGCTGTAATTCAATCTAAATAAACGACGAGGCTATCTGCTGGAGAAAAGGCTGAATCTAACAGCAATGTCACCAGCATGCCCTCTTCCCAGAATAACTCCACGCTAGCCATTGGAGCTTCTCTAGGTATATAAGAGCCCTTTGGGTTGGTAGCCTCACTGCTGTGTGTATAGATTAAAACCTTGACCTATATATCTCCTCTCCCTTACTTGAATGTTTGACTTTACTTTGGGGGCAAAAGTTTGGATTGTTAGGGGACTATAATATACTCTTCTACACAATAGAAAGAGACCATATTAATTCACTCACTGAGCTTTCATAGTAATATAAACCATATTTGGCTTGTCGTTTTGTCAGGGATGGGTATAAGTATGTGGCTTTTATTACTCATACCATCCTCTGACAAAGGCATCCTTATTTCTCTTTACAATTTCACAATAAGGTGCAGAGGAAGGTCATTACCATCTGTTAAAGATATTCAGGGCCGGGCACGGTGGCTCACACCTATAATCCCAGCACTTTGGGAGGCCTAGGTGGGTGGATCACTTGAGGTCAGGAGTTTGAGACCAGCCTGGCCAACATGGTGAAACCCTGTCTCTACTAAAAATGCAGAAATTAGCCAAGCATAGTGGTGCATGCCTGTAGTCTCAGCCACTCGGGAGGCTGAGGCATGAGGATCCTTTGAACCTGGGAGACGGAGGTTGTAGTGAGCCAAGATGGTGCCTCTGCACTCCAGCCTGGGTGACAGAATGAGACTCTGTCAAAAAACAACAACAAAATAAAGATGTTCAGGAGAGATATTTTGTAGAGAGGAAGATGTTCCCTAGTACCTATAAGTCATCTCAAGGAGGTGGTCACACCTTTCCTAGTGCTAGAAAAGCCCTACTCAGAGACCTCCAGTGTTTTCCCACCTCCTGTCAACCTGCCTTATACTTCCCATATCTCCATGTGGGAGGCATCCCTGTGGAATTTGCTTAGCACTTGGCCATGCTTTGTTTGAAACCTTAAAAGCTCTTAAAGAAAGTTGCCTTATGTTCCCTGATGAGAAGATGAAGTTGGCAAAAGAATGGTGAAGGGCAGGGATCTTGATGAGAGGCCCCTGACTACTTCTTTAGTGATCGGCATTCTTCATTTCCCATCTCATTCCATGTCCTGGTGAAATGGCTGCAGAAGATGAGATCCAGAGCCAGCGGCAGCACCTGAAGGAAACCCTTTTCATCAACAACTGCCTGCGAGAAAAGCTGGAACGTTATCTCAGCAGCTTTGATGAAGAAAATGGTAGGAGAGGCCCAAGTGATCTGCTTCTGGCAATATGTATTGTTCTAAAAGCCTGTGACTGGGGCAGAGTTTTATAGATTTCAAGCACTTTGACATACTTTACTTCACTTATTCATTACAAATGTCCCAGCTAGAGAGGTAGGGCAGCTACTATCATTCCTATTTAGAGGTGAATAAATAGGCTTAAAGATTTGCCTCCATCTTAGAGGTATCTACCTCTAAAATCATTCTTGTGATTCCCAGGCTGTCCACCGTCTTCTCTCTGCTTCTGTACACCGCCTGCTGTCTCTCTGCTTCTTATGTGATCGGCATTCGGTAGAACCCAGGTTTCTGAGCACCTCATGTAGCAGAATGAGAGTCTCCTCTGCTGCCATCCTCATCAGCTTCCCTTATGTCTTGGTTACTCTTCATTCTACCACCCCAAGGTGGTTCTCTCCAACCCCCTCCTCTTCGATTGCTCTCACACAGAGGCCATCATTTCACAACATCATGCTGGGCCAGAAGAACAGTAACCAGGTCCCTTCCCATACCAAAGCAGCAACTATTTCAGGAAAGCCTCCTTCATATTGCAGCCATTGGACATGATAATACATGTGATGTGCTGGCATTTGTTCAGAATCATGTGAAAATTAAGCTTCTGCCCCATCACACTAAAGTTCCAGCCCTGAGTCCCCACGGTTTTCTCCCTAGGCTAAGATAGAGAGGAAGAACATGGAATGTGCAGAAAGCATTCTCTTAAGCAAACGTGTATGACTTGCCTAAACTGTAATTATTTCCTGGAACAGGATGCAACTCTAACCTCTACAGGCAGATCATAGATTCCGTTGTCCAGCTGTATAATGAAAATAGAGTTCTCAGAGAAGAATACCGGAGACTCCCCCGGCTTGCCTGAATCAAATTTCCAGAGGTAAGTGGTGAAAGGCCACAATATAAAGTCACTCTCAGATGGGTCCCTTCTCTTGTCACACCCCACTTAGAAACAAAAGAGGACGGGGAGGCCATAGCTGCTCAAAGCCTTATAACCCACGATTCTCATAGTTATTCTCAACTTAGAGACGGCTGCTTTCTAGATGCACCCCCTCCAGGCCCCCAGACTGCCAGCCTCCAGGAATAAGTAGCTCTAAGAAATACACCATTTAGGTACAAGCCACACTCCACTATTGCAAATTGGAGAAGAGAAGGACAAACTTAAAAGGTGAAAATATTTAAGAGAACAACATGGTGAAACCCGGTCTCTACTAAAAATACAAAAATTAGCTGGGCATGGTGGCACGCGCCTGTAGTCCCAACTACTTGGGAGGCTGAGGCAGGAGAATCATTTGAACCCAGGGCGGAGGTTGCAGTGAGCCAAGATTGTGCCACCGCACTCTAGCCTGGGTGACAAAGCAAGACTCCATCTCAAAAAAAAAAAAGAAAAAAATGTAAGAGAACAATTATTTTAACTGAATACATTTTGTCAAGATTAAATCAACTTTCCCTTAGAGTACTGAAACAATAAGCAATCATAATTTAGATTCTAAGTTACTGGTCTTTGAGAAAGTGTGAAAACCAAAAAGATGTCATAAGCCAAAAAAGGAGCAAAAGTCCTAATTTTCAAACTGATGAAAATAAAGTACTAAAAAATTGAAATAGTCATAGTTCATCTTGGTCCTTGGCAAAATACAAATTTATTGATTTAAATCATAATATCCTAGCTACCTTTCTGTGCCTAGCTCTTACCACTGAGGAGAAAAACCAAACGTAAACAAAAGTATGTTCAAATTGGCAAAAATGTTTACAAACCTGCAAAATCTCTTCAGCCTATCCCTTAAACTCCAGACTTGGTATTTACTAAGCTCTGCTGTGTACAATATCCACCTTAGTATCCATTCTTGCACAAGTTCTGTTAGGTATAAGCCAAGACCACATGGGATTTCTTTTTTTGTTTTTCAACCTCTCATGCCTATGTTTGCTTTTGCTTCCAAAGACCCTTCTAAGGACTGTCCTCAGACTACTGGAGTCACTTAGTCACAAGCTTGCCTGAGGCTCACAGCTGGCAATACCTGGGAGTTTATGTCAATCCCACAGCACCCAGCAACCCCGCCTGCAAAGTATTTACCCATGATTGACAGGTGCAGGTGTATGAAAGCCCAGCTCCTTGACTTGATCAGTGCCTTTCTGGTGAATTAGCTTTGAGAAAAGGGAATCCAGAGGACAACTTAGTAAAAATTCAGATAGATAAATGGAAAGAAATCTTTGCCTTGGCAGTCCGATTGAGAAAAGATAGCGATTTACTTGAGACTGTGAAAAGACAGACTGACGTCTTCACTTTCTCATGGGAAAGAAGCCTATGGTGAAAGAGAAACAGAATGGTGGGAAATAGGTGGGTCTACTCAGTAGCTTTAAACCATTCTGTCATATTATAAAGCCTGGTGAGGTTTTAACTAACACAAGTGCCTGGACTCTACACAGAGATTCTGATTTAAATGCTTCCAGGTGGGTAGAAACCACTAGTAGTACTGAAAAGTTCCCAAGTAATTTTAACATGTGGCTAGAGATGAAAAGGACCATCTATCTACTAGAATCTCAAGTCACCAAATGTACAACTACCTCATAGAAAAGGCTTAACACCACCCATTGATGGAATTTGCCTTCCTCTCTCCATGGTCTTGTATAGCATGGAAAAAAGAGAAGAGAAAAAGAGGTAGACAGATAGATTGAACCTATCATTTGCCTATGTAGAGCAGTTTCTCAAACTTTTCTGACCACAAGATGCAGCGAGAAATACACAATTCTTTGTGATCAGTTTTTTGAAAATCTTTTACTATGTGTAATCCACCCTAGCTAGTATTTAAATAAAGCCTGTAGTAGTATGCAGTCCAGTATATTGATTTCACAACTCATAAGTGGTTCAGAATTGCAATTAGAAAATTTTTACTTTTGGCCAGGTGTGGTGGCTCGTGCCTGTAATCCCAGCACTTAGGGAGGATCACCTGAGGTCGGGAGTTTGAGGCCAGCCTGACCAACATGGAGGAACCCCGTCTCTACTAAAAATACACACGCACACACAAAAATTAGCTGGGCATGCTTGTGCATGCCTGTAATCATAGCTACTTGGTAGGCTGGGGCAGAAGAATTGCTTGAACCTGGGGGGTGGAGGTTGTGGTGAGCTGAGATTGCACCGTTGCACTCCAACCTGAGCAACAAGAGTGAAACTGTCTCAAAAAAAAAAAGAAACAAACAAACAAAAGTTGTTTACTTTTGCTCAGCCTTTTTATCAACCAAAATCCCGAAATAAGATTTACTGTAAAAGAACATTTACTATAAACATCTTTCTGTGAATCCTTATTTCTGTCCCAGCCACCACGAACCAATAATCTCTAGAGCCTGTTAGTGTTCTCCAGATTGAAGACTTCCTTCTAACTGCTCCTAAACTCTGTGATGGAGTGGAAGAGGTTTGAAGCCTCGATTCTCATCCCAGGTTTTTCACCCACAGATCATATGGCCTGAGCCTCTTGACACCATTGTCTCCTTATGGCCAAAGATGAAACTGTACTTGGGTAGTATCTGAGCACCCTGCTGGCTTTCACATTCTAGGGCTCTTCCCTTGGCACCACTCTCTTATTTAAAAGGAATAGAATGTGGACTTAGGAGGGTTATTTCTCTGCAAACTGTCCTCTCTTTCTTACAAGCTATTTCTGAATGTGCACATTTGAGGCTAAGCAAATCCCTTCCTGGAGGTGGGAAAGACCTTTATTTCTCTCCACAGGAGTATTATGGAGAGTCAATTATTACTGAGGAGGTGGTAGAGACCTAGCTAACTCATCTGCAGTGGCTTTGAGCAAGGCTTTTAGAATCATAAGGTGGCTGAGGTCCTGTGTCCTACACCACAGGCCAGCTAGTTCATTTCAGGAGACTTTCTTTTCAATCTACTATTACTATCTTCTTCTAGGACAGAGATTATCTTCACTACCAGAGATTATCCACTTAGCTGCACTCAAGTTTGCACCTGGCCTGTATCACCACTTAGCTCTCACTCCAGTCTCAGTTAGGTATCAGCAAACCTCACCAAACACTATCGTTTAGTTGTGTGTCTGTGTGTTTTTGTTTATTTCAGGTAACAAGTAATGTTGGAACTATGAAAAGCTCTTCTCTACTTTTAACAAAGCTTAGTCACAAACAGTTCCCTAGTTGATGAGAAAAACTGAAAGAACAGAACAATTGAAAGTCCAAATCTGAAAGCTTCATCTCTGAGAACCAAATTTTACAGCCACTCCAGATTTGTACTCCAAATGGATAGTCTGATTGTAGAAATCACATCCCTTCAGCCTGCAAATGTGACAACTGCCCAAGAGACAGTGATACCTAGATTCATAGATAATCCCCTTTTCCCCAACCTATATGTAACTGGAGTCAACAGCAGCTGGAGGAAAATGGCAAGGACTTGGAATCAGATTTAGAATAACATTGCTGTAGACTGTTTATCAACTCTTCAGCGTATGTCCGTTTTCCTTGAAGGATGAGCATTTAGAAACCTCTGACAATAAAGTTTATTTTACACACATTCTCTTGCCTATGATTTTTTTTGTACAAATCACAATTATAAAACTTTCTTGCTCCAGCTAAAAGCAGGAAACTCAGTCACGAATGTGTTCACTACATGTATACCACAAAATGATAGCAACCAGTCTGAATGCATCACTTGATTCCAAAATTAAATGTTAGCACTCAGTAGTGAAACTGCATGTATCTTCAACTCCAGAAGCCGCAGGCAAGATATTCCTGTTTCCTTGCAAGGAAACAGATCTATAAGCAGGGCAGCAGTGTCACACATGTACATTCCTGGGAAACCCAAGGAAACAGTGGTAGTGACGCAGGGCAGGCGAGCCCCAAAACTGGTTCATAACCTGGGAAAATTCTTCCAGACTGCAGTTTCCGTGGCTTTGCCAAGGAAAGAATTCAAGGGCAAGTCGCTGGTGAGGGAAAGCAACTTTTATTGAACTGGTGCTGCTTCTTGCAGAGCAGGGCTAATCCATAGGCAGTGTGTCCAGAGTTGGTGCCTGTGGGCTGCTAGTTAGTTGTATTTAGACCCACTTTTAATTACATGCCAATTAAGAGGTAGGTTATTCAGAACTTTCTGGAAAAGGGGCAGGGAGTTTCCAGAACCATATAAAGTAACTTTCAGGTCATTGCCAAGGTGTGTTGCCATGACATTTGTAAACTGGCCATGTCCCAGTGGTAGTGTCTTTATGCTCATAAGCAGTGAGGGCAACTAGAAGTCACTTTCATCATCATCTGCTGGTTCCAGCAGGCTTCTTCACTGCGCCCTGTTTTGACCAGATCCTGCTCTGTTCAATGGGGTGGTGACTGGAAAATAAGTCCTACTGGTCTCCCACCTCATTTCCCCATCAGAGATTCTATACTCCTCCTTAATCTTAAGGGGCTTGCAGAAGGGTGGAGGTTCATCTTCTGTAACTGCTTCCTGCTGATGTTATGGGCATAGACCCTGCCTAGCAATGGAGAAGTAAACTCTCTGAATACCTGTTCTAAAAGGCCCAAAGGCAGGATGTCTTTATTTTCTGGGTCAGAAGACGGGACGGGTTGGAAGCCTTGTGCCAGCATCATCTTTACATGGAATTATTGTAATCTAGAAGACACAAACTTTACAAGGAGGTTAAACAAGCAAGGACCAAAGATTAGTAATAACAAGATACCTGTTAAAGGTCCTAGGAAGGGTAAAAACCAAGTGCCTGCTGGTAGAGATTCCTTTATTGAATTCCATCAGCAGGGCAAAGCGGTAAGATAGAAAACATCGTAATTAGGAGTAACAGAAAAACTTTCATGCTCATCCACAGCATCATGTTATTAATACTTACCTGTGCATTTGCAAAACAATAGCTTTAAGTCTTCTGGGAGTTTGCAAGTGTAGGTCATGGCATCTTCCTCTGGCATCTGTGAGGACTCGTAAGAAACTTTGAGGTTGGGTACGGTGGCGCATGCCTGTAATCCCAGCACTTTGGGAGGCCGAGGCAGGCAGATCACGAGGTCAGGAGTTCAAGACCAGCCTGGCCAACATGGTGAAACCTCGTCTCTACTAAAAATACAAAAATTTAGCCGGGCATGGTGGCACGTGCCTGTAATCCCAGCTACTCAGGAGGCTGAGGCAGGAGTAATGTCAGCTACTCAGGAGGCTGAGGCAGGAGCATTGCTTGAACCCAGAAGGCAGAGGTTGCAGTGAGCTGAGATAGAGCCATTACACTCCAGCCTGGGTGACAGAGCAAGACACCATCTCAAAAAAAAAAAAAAAAAAAAAAAGAAAAATTTAACTTTGAAGTTTGACTAATTCTCCAGGTCAAATGGGGGAGTTAATCCTTATCCTTGTGGGAGGAGGTTACATTTCATTTCCATATGGTTGAAGGGCCTTTTGAATCTGGCCTAAGTGATAATCTATGTGTCTCTTCATCAAACAGAAGGTCTAAAGTTAAAAAGGGCCTTCCATAAGTCATTTCAAATGGACTAAGCTTTAAAGTTCCCTTTGAAGCCGTCCTCACATGCAAAAGGGCTATAAGTAGTAGAGAAACTCAGGCCTCTGAGGTCCCCTGAAAGAGTTTTGCTAATATCATGATTGGCTTTCTATGTTATCTGAAGATTGAGATCTCCGTGAGGAGTGAAGATAGGAG